ATATATATATATATATATATATATATATATAAGTAGAAGTGATTACCTTTTTTAATTATTTACCACGCTCATAATGTTTTTTTTTGAACTTCATACAACCAAGGTGTAGAGTGCGGGAGATTTAAAAAAAAAGTGGAAATATATTATAACCGAACTGAAATTTTTATTCTCATCGCGGTTGGTGGTGTACATGTGTGTAGGCATGAGATACCGCAATCGCTGGGCGTGCTTGCACTCCAGTCTGTACAAGACGAAACGGTACTTTACGTCGTCGGGTCTGCACGGGACCCGTCCGTCGCGCGACCCGTTTCAGCCCAACCTAACATCCCTCACAAATATGCGGAACCGTGACGAATATTTCATAAAGTTCGGAAATAAAGGACGCTCGATGGGGATTCCGCGGATCGAGCGCCTGCAAACCCGTCCTATTTCCATTCTGCACGAGACCCCACACATAATGGTGGTCGGGCGAAACTTCTGCAACGGCTTCGCGAGCAACCAATTTCTTTTGGTGAACAAGCAGACTAAACACTGCATCTTCATCGACGCCTGCGATGACTGGCCCGATGACTGGGTGACGTTCATTTCGTCGTCGAAACTCACGCTCACGCACATCTTTTTCACCCACTGCCACATCGATAATATCATCAACCTCACGGCGCTCATGACCATCGTGGCGCAGCACTTAAAGACGTGCCCAGGACTGATGTGGTGCCCAGCAGAGCAAGTGTGGATAGACGCCTTTCCAAGAGCATGTCAACGGTACCGACGCGAGGAAGAGGCTCGGAAAGTACTCCCTTTCACACAAAACAACTACTACACCTACAATACTTATGCGTACAGGCTTTTGCAGAGGCAGCGCTCACTGGACCAGCAATATCAGAGAGAAGCCGCCATGCGGAATCCAACCGATGAAGCAGACCCGCACGAGCTGGGGGCTGAGGCAGCGTTGCCACTTCCCCCAGAATTAGTACGCCGGCAGGACATCCTTCTGAGCTGCGCCACGAATCGCGCTACGAGTTTTTATGAATTTGGCACCCACAGTCTTTTGTATTATATCTTCACACCCGGCCATTCCCCAGGGCACATGATGTTGAGCCTTCCCCGCGAGAAGCTGCTATTCACGGGTGATGTTCTGTGCTACAACCAGATTGGCCGCGTGGATTTACCCTGGGCGACAGGCGAGCGGCTGGCGGAGAGCCTGCTGACGCTGGAGGACTTCCCCGACGCCACGGTGCTGTTGCCAGGTCATGGTCGCCTAACAACGCTGGGTCGGGAGCGACGTGAGAACCGGGCGCTGCAGGCCTTGTATGAGCGACGAGAACTTGGTCAGCAAGAGGTATCGGTTGGGTTCAATACGGGATACCTGTAGTCCGCAAAAGAGCGAGTGTTCCCTTGTTCAGTGTAAAAAGGGGTGAAAAAGAGAGGCATCCCAGTCTCAAAAAAGAAAAAAAATGATTGCATATTGAAATTAGCATGAATCTTGTTTTTCTCGGGGGGGGAAATTTGCTGCATCCTTTTCAAGTCTTGGGTTTTGTTGTTTTTACATAAATAGGTAATCGAAGGAAGTCGCCCCTATCCCTTCCTCAGGAAGAAAGCATTGAAAGCTCCCGACGTGTGAACAAAATGACCTGGGATTCTAGGTCCCGTGAATCCGATACAGCTTCAGATGCAAATTAAAGCTCATGAAAGCAGAACCTTTAATGAGGGCTGAGCGCGTCGATATAGTGATAGCGTCCGGCAATGCGAAGGCGGATTTCGAGATTGTAGACGAGGGGGGAGGTTTCTAGTCCTATAAGGGGACATGTGGTCTGGGTCAGTGGCTGTTACAAGGTCGCCGTTGTTGCACCAGTTTCGCTTCTATTCTTTTCGGGTCGGGAAAAAAAAATGGCAGAGTTTTTTCACTAGAGAGAAGCGAGGCACTCAGGAAAAGTGCAATTGCCGGGAGTCGAACCCGGGTCACTCGCTTGGAAGGCGAGAATCTTAACCGTTGGACCACAATTGCGGTAAAGCTATAAGGAAGCTTATCGTTCAGTGTATCTTAACGATATAATTCCCATATATTTCAAGAAGTGAATGGGGGCTTGGCTCAGTGGTAGAGCATTGGATTCCAAATCCAAGGGTCGCAGGTTCGATCCCTGCAGTCCTCATTTTTACAAATGCTCCAAAATCTGATCAGATAAAAAACGCAAGTAGCCGGATTCGAACCCGGTACCTTCGGTTCGGGCACCTGACACTGAACCGGTTGGCCATCCGGCGTCGGTGAGTTCCGAGAGTTTCATTGAAAAGTAATAAATAATTTTAGAAGGATATTACTAAATTTTCCTTATTCTCCTGCTAACAAATGCCCATGTACAACTCACCTGCGTGGTGTCATCACGAAAGCACCAAGCCGCAGTAAATTTTGGGAGGCTCCAAGCCTAGTTTAAACAGGTTGTGGTATCGCATTAGTGGTAAAAGTGAACCGGCGATCATCTGGTCCTATAGTGTAGTGGTTATCACTTCGGACTTTGAATCCGAAAACCCAGGTTCGAATCCTGGTAGGACCAATTTTCTCGATGAACCTTCATTTTTGTCATAAACGCGCTCCAGATGATCTGCCCCCTTTGGTCCTAGAACACTGAAATTTATGACCAATTTGCAATACATCAATACATATTACTCAGCTCGGTCAATCTTCGTTCGAAATAGTGTTTTATTGGTATCGCTCATATGTTTCGATAATTTTGGTAACTCTTTCCCTTTCACATATGGCGTAATTTCAGAAGTCCCAATTTCTAAACCACTTACCTGGATTTTCAAAGAATTTACCTTTGGGGGCACTCCCATAACCAGGTTTATGCAGTCTCTATTAATATCCACTAGTCATATAAAATTAGATTACATAAATAAAAGTATTTTTTTTATATAGATATATAGATTAAATATAATAAACATTCATATCGACGCACCAAATATGTCTTAATTGGCGTGTGTTTAAAGATTAAGTCACCCGCGGTATATAAAAATATATATATATAATGTAAAACATGAATGGAATTTTTAATAATTCATGAGAGTTGGTAATAAAGAATCACTGGAAATTAATTCATTCAATATATATTTTTTAATTTTAGTATAATCCTGATTAACTAAAGTAATACGGCTCATGCTCAATATCGTGTTCAAAATTTGAAACCATTAAAGCTCCATAAAATAAAAACCATATGAACCTATAACACATTAAGTTTAATAAATTTCTTAGTTAAATACAACATATTCTATTAACTTAACAATCCAATAAAACATTAAGATGACCATTTAAAGTTTTATAAAATAATAGAGTACAAAATATAGATTTTAATTGCATTCAAATTAATTTTAATATATAATTATCATATTGCGATGAGTATTGGTTATGTTTTGTTAAATAAAGCACCACCTTTGTTTTCAGGCATATCTACACATTTTTTGACATTATAAAAGATATTTTGGTGATGAAATCAAGTCAAAATAATTATAAAATTGTATTAAGTATTTTTTAAAGCGTTATTATTAGTTCGATTGAAATCAGAACAAAAATCAGTAAGTTTTGATAAAACATCGGAATTGACTGCGTCACCTTAATTTTATCATCCGATACATTTGATTTGCAATATTAATGGTTAAAACGAATATAAATGAGATTAAAATTCTTGTTGGTCAACCATTTGATTGTATATTTCTGAATCTTATAACTCTTGATATTATTACATTTTCGTCAAGAATTCCTAAGAACCTATCAACACTCTTTAACTTAAATGGAATTTATTTTTAGATACCCCCCCCCCCTAACACCATTTCCCCTTAAAATACATATGAAGTCCCTATACTTAATTGCTGTGGTGTCAAAAAGAAATTGTCACCTGTATAAACTGATATGTATGATTCATAATGAGGTTTAAAATTTGAACCTAATTGAGAACTCACCTGAATTTAAGCTGAATTCCGTTCAACATGCGATGCGGTGGCACTCCATTTTGCTTTTGATACTTTAAAAAACCGCTGGGTTTTGAATCCATGTTATCTTGTTCTAATTGTGTGTCAGTGGTATTGTACTATTTTTATGAATATATTGATATTAGGTACATATAAGAATATTGAAAAATAAAAAATTCTAAAATTTAATTCACAATCAATATTTTAGCGAAAATAAAAAAATAGAATTTTTGAGTGTCAAAATAACCCATTTAATGGCGCTGCATGGTTAATGGTAATTGATATAATTTATGGTCATGTTATGGTAACAACTATCGAAATAGATCTATAAAACATTAGAGGATAATAAAATATAGAAAATTTAAACCTATAAACTAGAGGGAACCATATGGAACGACTTTTTGGAAATAGCCGGGAACAGAGGTAAGGATTCCCGAAAGAGCGCTTCTAAAACATCAGTCTGGAACACTATAAGATATGTGGCTGATTTACCCAGGACGTATGGGCGCGGGTGATCTAGTGGTTAGGATGTCTGCTTTACACGCAGAATGTCGCGGGTTCAATCCCCGCTCCGCGTAACTATTTTTCGTGATCGGGGAAGCGAAGCGCATCCCTTTTTCAAAAAGTAGGCCACACCGAGAATTGAACTCGGGACCCCTGGTTTACAAGACCAGTGCACTGCCACTGTGCTATGCGGCCTTATCACGCGGGCCGTTTGGAAGATCGCAATGAGTTTGAAAAATACATATAGTTCATAGACAAGATTATGCCATTCTCACACACGGGGCAACCGGCCTCGTGGCGCAATGGAAGCGTACCAGACTTCGGATCTGATGGTTGCAGGTTCGAATCCTGCCGGGGTCGATTTTCTGAATTTGCCACCCTCGCGAAGAGGGTGTTGAAAAAGCGCATTCCGTGGGGATCGAACCCACGACCACGCGGTTAAAAGCCGCGCGCTCTACCGACTGAGCTAGGAATGCTACGACGCCTGCTAGGCGCGTTTACCTCATTTGATTAATTCCCCAATGTTAATTGATCAGAGTTTGCTATCCTCCTGAGATATATTTCCAAGAGGTTAAGATCGTACTCTGAACAGAATCAGTTTATGAGTATAACCTCTTAATTGAAAACAAACCGAGTTTCAAGTCCTGATGATGACGGTTGCCTTTCTTCGCCCGGAGAGCGCTTCGATGAACGGCAGAAGAGGGTTCCAGAAGGATCCTTTTTCATCGTCTGGATAAACGAATGCCAACCCAATGCTAATTAGCTTTATTGGCGAAAACGCTCTCCGTGGGGATCGAACCCACGACCACACGGTTAAGAGCCGTGCGCTCTACCGACTGAGCTAGGGGAGCTACATAGACCACTATGGATAAAATCGGTCTTCGATTCTATTAATTACTCGCCAGATCGACTCGTTTCCCAGGGCTTCCGTGGTCTAGTTGGTTAGGACGCTGGTCTTATGAACCGGATATCGCGGGTTCGAGTCCCGCCGGAAGCAGCTATTTTTCGTTGGGTTCCCTTTTTACCTTGAAATGATTTCAGAAACGGGTTAGGTAAACGATGTCAATATAAATATGGGATTGCAAACAATTACATTATCACCTAACTTCTGCTAGAGAGAAAATGGAGGGTCTTTTTCTTGCCGCTTGAATTATTCATAATTTTACTATTTCGATTGCGATAAATTTTAGTGTTGAAATAAAATATTGATTAGTCCTATACTATTTTCTTAGTGTAAATTAGTTACAAAATGATAAAAAGTACCTTAAGGAGTGGAGGATTTCTTCAGATAGCCTTCCCTTTTCCCTTCAAGGGAACCCTTAGTGCCAAATTAATTTTAGGACGCTAAATTATCTGAACCCCTCCTCTCTATACTAAATGCGGTGGCTTGTATACGGAAACCTCATGAATGATATCCGGAAAGCGCTTGCTGAGGGTGTCCGCAATCGTGTCCGATTCACATTTTTCCAGTGGCGGTAGCACGAGGATGAGGTGCCCCTTTTCCACGTCATACGTGACCGGGTTGGCAACACCGCTTGCCTTAGCACACGTCTCGACATCCGACCATTTTGAATTTAGTGAGAACCGGAGGTTTAGAATCACGCGCTCCCCTGGGGTATACTCGTCACTATCTGCTTTGGACAAATCGACCGCATATAGTGAGCGAAAAATCGAAACTTTGTTGATTAGGTCAGCTGGCGCTTCCCTCACATCGTTGCACCCCAGTTCCGCAAGCAAATTAAGCAAGAGCGTTCCAGTCATGAGTGCATCGTAGCCCGCCTCATGAGAAGGGTTGGCCGGTCCGCGGGATGGCAAGTTGCGATGGGACTTCGTCATTAAGGTAAGGGGGTCATAGTTCTGGAATCCCAGCGGCAGGCTCACCTCGACTTTCTGAGACTGCATTCCGTAATTCTCAAAGAGGCCGCCGAGGTAGAGCTTCGGGAAGTACCCCATGGGAAATCGATCCACGCGCGTCGCGATGTACTTCGTGTCCAGAATCGTTGGGAACAATTCCTTCACGCGCGCCTTCCACGACGGGAGATCCTCCGGTAAAATTTGATCAAACGCCGTCAATAGAAAAAGCAAGTCTGTAAAGCAGTTGTGCCCCACGCACGGCTTCTTAGAGTTCACCAGCTCCTCGAACACGAGGCGGAACCCCAGCGAATTCAGCTCATCACAATGACAAGCAGCCTTCTCCTTGGCGATCTTTGATTGGATTTCATCCTCCGTAAAGACACAGAGCGTGCCGGCGAACATCTTGCCCTGGCGACGATAAGTTACGGTCACAGACGGCAGGTGAGTCTTCAAGTACTTTGCAAGGTGCTCGGTCACTTTCTTGCTCGACTGGTTCTCAAGAAGCACCTCACGGGTACCGAGAATCTTGACTGCCTCAGCGCTTTGGTTCACCTTCAACAGGCCATTCATATTCTTAGTCGTCGCATCACACCACGCCGTGTCTGCTCGCTGCTTCAACTCCTCAGCAGCCTTTATCGAGGCCGCGACCCACGACTTTTCCTCGTCCGTAAAGTCGTCGCATGCTGTTTTTTCCTCAGCATTATCCGAACCGCTGATCTCCGAACGTTTTCTCTTCCAGTGGTTTCGCAACACGTCTGCTTGGTCCTTGTCGCAAAACCCAATGCCCTGGTAAACCCACGACTGGAAATCCATTTCTTGACGCCGGTGAAACGCCATAGCAGAAGAGCTCAGAACAATGTCGCTGCTGATGTTGCTCCCGAACTGTGCCCCCCCCGTTTCTTCCATAGATTGAGGAAACAAGACAAAATTAAACGGTGACGCCGTGTACTTTGCGACGCCCCCGGTGGAGCCTGTTCGGTGGAAGAGACAAAGACCAACCTGAATAAGGTTATAGTGTTTGGCCGCCATCCGCTTGAAGTAGTAGCTCTCTGCGGTTGAAAATGTGATCAAATCGCTTGTATTTGGCAAAGCAACGCCCGTCATCTCCTCGTCAAAAGCATAGAAGTCGCAGGTCTTGAGCAGCTTTACGAAATAAGGGAGCGTCGCTGCGAAAGTATTGTAAATGACCTGCATCTTTTCTTTGAGGGCAGTTTTTCGAAACTGGAGAATGTTACGACACAGATGTCTTTTATAAAATTATTTAGGGTCGGTTTCTGAGCGATGAATAAATATTAGGAATAAAAAACTTTGAGGTATTCTTAGCTAATAGGTAAAGCTTCAACTCGGGTTGAGACAGTGACGAAGCATTGTGAATAAATGGAAGTTACAGTATAAGAAATGCAAGGCTTTAGTCATGGATATCATTAAGGATCCTTTTCTATCCTTTCTTGGAATTTTATTTGAATGACGAAGGTGAGTATCAAACATTCAAAAAACAACAATTAGAGGGTTAGCGTTTCGCCTTTCGTTTGGATTTCTCTCATCTCACTCTGTGTGTCATTTGGGATCACCACAAAAGACCACCGCGCGGTGTGCTGTGCATGCAAAGTATTGCTTTGCCAATCACCACTACCGTCCATGTCAGGGAATCCAAGTGAAAAGTAGACATAAACCTGAGATAAGTAGGAGGAATGGAGGACGCGCAGTAATTCCTCTGTCGTGACCGGTGACCCATAGCAGTCAGTCACCACTGTCTCCGCGCACTTCCTGACAGGACCCCGCCGGCCGCCATACCCCCCTATCGCAGCATCCCCACACGCACCGCTTCCGTCAAGACGCGTTTTCTGCAGGTCCTCGTCGCGTTGGCACGCGTCGTAGACGTACTGCAATGACTCAGGATTCAACAGGTAGCACAACTGCGGGATTACCTCCACTACGAACTGAAAGGAATAGGTTTCTTGGGGTTGTAGGGAAAACGGCGGCCTGTCGTCGCTCGCTATCATGGGCGTGACCGTAACAATCTTGGTGAGGATGTCTATGGTCTGCAGGTTCGCACCAGAAGGACCCGGACGCTGTTCGGCTGGGCTAATGCCCACCACAACAGCTTGAGGGGGGTCCCCTTCGCTATGAAGGGACGACTTACCCGGTGACCCACACGCCGGATTCCACACGTCGCTGGTATAGAGATCAAAAGTCGCACCATGGAGGGTGATCGGCGCAGTTGAGGAATTTGTAATACTCAAGTTCAGCAGTAACCGGTCATTGCTCAAAGGAAACGTAACCGACGTCAGGTCTAACGCATAGCGGACCCGAATGGACGTGTAGTGACATCCAAAAGGAAGAAAGTAGCCTCCCTCACGACCATACAAGGCAGCAGCATCGTCATCGTTGGCCGAGTCCAAAAGAGCTCGGAAAAGAACTTTCATAAGGATATATCTCTGGTCTTGTCGATAAGGCGACGACGACGTTAAGGAATTCCGAGAACCACAACTGTATTCGCTGTCACCGGTCGAAGACACTGTCATGGCGTTTGAAATTCCGAAGGGCAACATGAGCACAAACGCGAAAACACCCGGTACATCCAGGAGCGAGCGCTCAACCTCGGGGACCGTAAAACTAAAGATGTACTCACTCACAATACTTTGTGGAATGATGATTGCAGTGCCCAACGCCTCGCTGCTAGTGGGCACCGATTCCTCGATAACGGAAAAGGTCGAACACTTCACTTCCATTGCGCTACCAGCCAGACAGCATGAGGGGCGTCGTCCATCGGGCACCGATTGGGCAAAACGATGTTCCTCCCAAAAAGGAGGGATGCCGAAGTGGAACGCACCCGCGTCGCCGGACGTAGCGAGGCTTGCGTGAACGGCCTCGCCTTCCTCCGCATGAGGTAACAGAAAGGGGACCACGACTACACACTCAAACAACCTCTTCCATGCCTCCACAAAGTTGTCCTCTCCAACGTGAGAAAGAAAGTCCAGCAAGGTCGAGGTTATCACCACGTCGGGATCCTCTTCTCCAGAAGGACGGCCTGAACTTTCAGTATTGCACTCGTTTTTAAAAGAAATACGGAGGCGCACGCTTAGTAGTTGCCGGGGAACTAAGGTACAAAAATGCTTTTCAGTGGATACAGCCCGTTTGCTGCCCTCATGAGAGTCGCTAAAGTCGAGCGTTACATGAGTGAACTTTTCGAGTAGATTCATTATCGCGTCTGTCTAGCCCTTTCCCATGTAGCTTCGTCAGCTACCGTGTGTTCACGCCCTTCTACACGAATTAAATGCTTAGAAAATAGAAAGGGTTAAAAATATAGATAAAAAAGAAGCTTCAGGTCCCTATGCCAATTTATCATGCATTTGCTAACAATAAACCTATCCTGGATAAGGAATTTAGCTGTACGAATGAGTAGATAGATCTATATTCGACCATTGACGATATATAAAAAGAATATATATATGATCTAGAAAATCTAGCAGCACAAAAAAAAACTTAAAGAAGCGCGCATAAATCCTAGCTACTTGTGCACGAAGCACATAAAGTAAACTAACTCTATTAAACCCTTTTCAAAAGCTTCAGTAGGTTCCTAGACTCTTCCAGAATCTTTTCAGCCCCTTCGCGGCGCCTAAGAAACTCAGCTTCTTGCGTATCAACTTGCTCACAAAGGACTTTAAGGTCCTCTAACTGAATCAATACTTGGACACCATCACCGTGTAGGTCCGCTTTGAAAGGTAAGAAGCGCACAACTGGTTGGTTATCAGGCTGGCTACATTCCAAAGGGATTGACAGCTCCCCTCTACAAGTACTGTCATTAGAGCTTGTTGAACAAACCTGCCCGACGGCCGTACAGCCCGCTTCATGGCGATGCGAGATTGGGTGATCCTTCGAAACTTGGTCCACCCCATCCGCGCGTGGGCGTTTTCGCCTATCGGTACTTCCCAATGTCGCCACACGCGGGAGAGAATGAATAGACAACCCGTCCAATTCATTTTCCTTATTCGGATTCCCGCCGGTCGCTTGATGGGGTTTCGTGTCCTGGGATGAGTCGTCAGGGCCCGTCCTTTCCTCGATCCCGCCCTTGTTACTGAAGTTTGGCATAAAAGAAGTGCCGGACGAGATGGGAGTGGGGTGATCAAGCTCATACTCCTTGACGACGATTCGTCCGCGAAAGGTTACGCGATTGGCCCCCGCCTCCGACCTGGCGTCGCGGTGAGCGATGTAGTGCCGCCCCGCGTGCAGGATATCCGAGGGGGAATCCAACGCGACGGTGCGGGGCTGAATACTGCCCTCCGCGTCACACTCCAGCACGCTACTGATGTTAAACTCCTCGGCCAAATCCCGCAGTGTGATGCTGTGGGGGTGGTAAATGGGAAGGAATTGCTCCTTGTCCGACTCGGCATCCCTTAAAAACACCACAGCACCCCCCTTAGGGGTGATCGCGCTATGGGACCACTCCACCTCGTTGTAGGTCGTGGTGGTGAAATCCCCACCATCAGTTTTCTGTAAGGTTTGCATGAGTGTCGTAGTCAAGAATAACAATCAAAATAACGAATAACAATCTAGGTGAATTCTATTCAAGCATAGTAAATGCTAACAGCGTTTGGACACCTCTATGATATTAGGAGTTACTTTTCGCTTTGATTTTCTATTGTCTAATCTGATAAATGTCAAGGGATTGGAAACTTTCAGTTTTACGTGATATTTTCTCCGTTTAGCAAAAGAAACTCATTTGTTGACAACAAATGAAAAAATGGATAGTGTCGTCATGATATTTCATTCTAAACTAATTGATTTATCTGCATTTCCAGCTTCATATAGATAAATAATATTATACAAGAGAGTCTAAGCTGTATCATTCCATTTTTATTGCTTCTTTCTCTAGGTTCCGCATGAAAAAGTGAGTAAAAGGGGAAGATGAAACTCCCTGATTTTAGTGAAATAATTAACATCTGTAGATAAACAAAAAGTGAGACTATGCTCATACGCATGCGGTTATCGTTTTGCACCATTATAAATTCACCCGCAAAGAGGGATAATAACATAAATTAATGAAGGTAGAACAAAAAAAAGGTATACAAATAAGGAAAAGGAATAATACAATGAGCTAGAATGAAAACAAACAATTCTTATAATATTGGGATTCTCTTCTACAGAGTTTAATCATTGTTGGAGGTGTGTTCAGAATTTTTGTTATGGTGGAGAGGGGGGGGGGGAGAGAGAACCTTTTATATTCTTTCAATGTCTTCAGAATACTTTCTATGACAACTATAGAGGCTCAATGCTCATGGTGAAAACAAAGGAGGAAGTACCATATTAGCCTTTTTTTTCTCTTTTTATAACATAACAGACTACAAAAAAATATCTAAGACCAAATCCGTTAGGCATATATTATGTCCCTGATCCTTACCTTTATCTGAGTCGATAATCAGTCACCCGTCGGTACACAGCTGAATTAGAGACTCGCGCAGATGCAGTCGTACGGCGTGGCCGCTGCCCCCGGAGAG